CCCGTCGCCTGTCGTGGAAGTGGGACCGTCCCCCAGACTCCGCCTCTGCGTCCTGAGCCGCCGAGGACGGGACAGGTGGCAGCCCGCCCCTGCGAGTGCGCTGGGGGAGGGTTCGCGCCGCCTTCGGGGGCACCTGCCTCCTGGACCGGGAGTTCCACAGTTTCCCTGCGCGAGCGAGCCAGAGGGTTGGAGGCGCTGATGACCTCTGCGGTCAGGAGCTGGTCTGGGGGAGGGGGAGGGCCTGGTGGGTCTGCGCCCGCTGAGGACCAGACGCCTGGTGTCTCCGCAGGCAAAGCGGGGTGCCGCGGGGTGCCCGGAGAGCCGCTCTGGCCTAGCGAGCTAGCAAGCACCGGCGGGCCTGTGTCCTGGACTCTCCTGGGCCAGCCGCCACCGTGAGACACTAGAGTTCCACGCGCGCGTTTTTTTCCTGCAAGGAAATGCTCTCTAGATGTCTCTAGAGAATTCTGGAATATAAAAGGCCGTGAAACCCCCAAGTCAATGAATTCCTTTCTTTTTTTTTTTAACTGAACAGGCAGTTTATGGAAATACATTGCTAAGCAAAGCAGCAGCCATGCTGGAGAGGGCGGTACCTTCAATGAATTTCTCTTTTAAGTGATTTTAAAAGCGTTTACATTTGTGTTAGCCTTGAAAACACTTAATACGCGGCCCTCCCTGGTGGCGCAGCAGGTTAAAGCACAGCGCTGAGAAGCTAAAGCCACTTTAGCGTAAGTTCGATACCTGCCCTGGAGCTGACATCCCCACCCTGGAGCTGACCCACATGGCCGGCAGACCGCTCCTGACCAGCCCACTGCTCCCCTCAGCAGTGCACTGGTCAGTCAACCTGTTCTGCTCCCCACTCTGTCTCTGGTGAATCCTCTCACCGCCCCTGCACCTCTGGCCTGTACCCCAGCTCTGTATGCATAAATTAATAAATCTTTGAAAAAAAAGAAAACACTTAATACATGCTTAAATTAGGCAGACTAGTGATTACCAGGATGACTTATAAAAAACTGACTTTTATGACTTTTATGATTTGCAGTAGGTTGAATTGATGTCCAAAGAGACAAGTATTTAGGGGAACAAGTTTTAGAATGATTTACTATGTGGGAAATAACAATTAAAAATAAATTACTTTTCATTTTACTCACTTTTTTCATTTTTGAGTTCATAATGTATGTCCCACTTCAGGCTGAGAATGAGCTTGTCCTTCAGCACTGTTGGAATTTTTTCAGAATAAAAGAAAATCCAATAACGTTTAGAATTCATCCGCATACATTTAAAAATCTAATTAGCTTTAATTAAGTGATTTGTGAATCAGACAGCATGCCACCTAGAAAACAGAAGTCAGTTCCAAAGACAGGTGCGAAATGGAAGGTGTTTCTTGTTTTGGGGTTTTTTACCACTTAATTTATTCCTTAATTCAAATTAACTAGCAGGTCTCACTGACAATATACTTTCACTATACAAAACAGTGGGAGCTGGGGCTCTCCCTAGTGGCGCAGCAAGTTAAAGCACAGCGCTGAGAAGCTAAAGCTACTTTAGCAGGAGTTTGATCCCCTCCCTGGAGGTGACCACATGGCCGGCAGACCTCTCCTGACCACCCGCTGCTTCCCTCAGCAGTGCATTTCCTTAGTCGGCCTGTTCTGCTCTGCACTCTGTCTCTGGTGAATCCTCTCACTGCTCCTGCACCTCTGGCCTGTACCCCAGTTCTGTGTGCATAAATAAGTCTTAAAAAAAAAAAAAAAAAAAAACAGTGCAAGCTGGTTCCACATTAATAAAGAATTTAACACACATGCTTCTCTAATGAAAGAAGCTTGAGGCTGCCCTTGCTATAAAAAGCTGCACAGAACAGAAATGGGCATGTTTAGTCAAGGCCCTGGCAGCTGACTAGAGAATGTCAGTTGTTCCCAATTACACTTGAAAGCAGAAATAGCAACACCATGGAAACTTACATTCATTGAAGAGTAAAGTGGACATTCAGAAGCGCTACTGCTGGTCATGTACCCTGCTGACCACTTAGGGATAGTCATCAGACAAAGTGGAAGGTTTTTATAAATGCCAGTGTGGGAGATAAGGAAAGAGTAGCTTTGTCTGAGGCTTCCCTTGGAGGAAGAAAACATGTATTAAGCAGATTACCTCATTACCTCATTGGAAAGTTCCAGACAAACTGCTTAGGATTGCATTCCTGGGAGAGGTTGAAACTGCCAGGAGGTCTTAGCACAGGTGACTCCACTTGTGGGGGTTGTCTTTTTTTTTTTAACAGTCCTCATGCCATTTACCAGGACTCCCCTAGTTACCAGGATTTTTTTTTTAAGATTTGTGGATTTATGCGTCCAAGAATTGGGATACAGGCCAGAGGTGCAGAGGGTGAGAGAATTCACCAGACACAGAGCAGGAAGCAGAACAGGCTGATCTGCTGAACTACACTGCTGAGGGGAGCAGTGGGGAGACAGGAGAGGTCTGCCACGCCATCTAGGTCATCAGTTCCCTGGTCCGGGATCCATCTTGTGCTACAGTGGCATGGGTAGCTTCATAGTGCTGGGCTTTAACCCATTGACCAGTTATCCTCTAATAATCAGTTTTATTAGTTTTTTAAATCTGGTCAGCATACATGTAAAAAGTAGCAATTTTACCTACATGTTTTACTTCCTTCCCTTTTTAGAAAAGTAACTTGCTGTACACATTGCAATAGTTT